TATATATATATATATATATATATATAAATATAAATAACACAACACTTCATTTCAGGCAATGAAAGTGTTTTTAATGTATTAATGTTAATTTCAGTTTTAGTGAGCCACAATGATCTTGATGGTTATCAACTTCTCTGTTTGAAAGTCTTGATCAGAAAAGATTTCTCGCGCACCTGAGACTTTGTTAGGATCCTTAACATGTTTTTCACGTGTGCGTGTGGCGGCGGCTGAGTCTATGCCTCTCCTGCTGGAATGTGCTCGTGTCAGAGGCCCAGAATATCTCTCACAGATGTGGCACTTCATGTGTGACGCGCTCATCAAATCCATCAGCAATGAACCCGACTCAGATGTGCTGTCAGAAATCATGCACTCGTTTGCAAAGGTAGTTCACATGTAAACTAGGTCAGTGTTTATTCTGCAGTTCACTGGGGGTTTGTACTGTTAGAGCTGAAAATGCTGTTTGTTCTCCAGTGTTTTTGTGCGTTGTTATAATTCCGTGTGATCTCTCTTAGTGCATCGAGCTGATGGGAGACGGATGCCTGAACAACGAGCACTTTGAGGAACTGGGAGGCATTTTGAAAGGAAAACTAGAGGAGCACTTTAAAAACCAGGAGGTCAGACAAGGTGAGTTGCACAGGATTTTTTTTTTTTTTTACTCAGAGGCTGCATTTTCATGAGGAAATAAATGTAGTAAAAACGGTAATAATGTGGTATTGTAATATAAAACAACTGTTTTCTGTGTGAATGAATTTTAATGCAATTTATTCCTGTGATCGAAGCTGAATTTTCAGCGTCATTACTTCAGTCTTCAGTGTCACATGATCCTTCAAAAATCATTCTAATATGCTGATTTGCTGCTCAAGAAACATTTATGATTAGTGTTGAAAACAGTTGTGCTGCTTCATATTTTTGTGGTAACGTTTTTTTCAGAAAGTTCAAAAGAACAACATTTGAAATGGAAGTCTTTTGTAACACTATAAATGTTTTTGCTGTCACTTTTAAGCAATTTAATGTGTACTTGCAGAATAAAAGTATTGATTTCTTTCAAAAACACATCTGAGGAAAAAGGTCAATTTTTACCCCCCACCCCCACCCTCTCGCTCTCTCTGGATTCTTTTTTTGTTTTTTTTTCTGTTTTAATTATTTTTAGTAATTAAGATGCATATCTAATTAATTGAAATCATGAAATGCATACAATTATACAAATTACTTGGCTCTGACTAATGATAGCCAAAAATTTACAGCATATAGTAAATTTGCCAAACTATTAAAAGTTATTCTATAGCAATTGTGCTCATTTTATTCATTTTGAAGTTACATTTTCTGAAAATAAAGTTTATCCTTGAATGTAGGTTTGAACACTGTTAATTGGCTAATTAGGTGTCATTGTCAGCCAATTGCAATCTTCTGATGTTTCAATTGTTCTAGCTGTTGTCACCAGTTTTCATCTGAAATGTCATACAGATTTGTGGAGTTTTTTTTGACTAATGGTTTTTGTTCTATGCAGCAAAACGACAAGATGAAGACTATGACGAGCAGGTTGAGGAGACATTACAAGACGAGGTGAGCAGCTCATCTCGCATGTTTCTTCTAAGTGATTCTTTGGTTTAGATCACTAATTGTGAAGCTCCTTGTGATCTCTCTCTGTTCAGGATGACAACGACGTCTACATCCTGACCAAGGTGTCGGACATCCTGCACTCGATCTTCAGCAGTTACAGAGAGAAGGTTCTTCCGTGGTTCGAGCAGCTGCTGCAGCTAATCGTCAATCTGATCGTAAGTACTTAGATCTGCAGTTTAGCTCTGTTTTTAACTGGTTATAGACTCTTTATCCATGTATTGTTCCTTTAGTGTCCTCACAGACCCTGGGCGGACAGACAGTGGGGTTTGTGCATATTCGATGATGTAATCGAACACTGCAGCCCATCTTCCTTCAAATACGCAGAGTACTTCCTGCGGCCCACGATGCAGTCGCTGTGTGACACCAGCCCGGAGGTGCGACAGGCGGCCGCGTATGGCATTGGCGTCATGGCTCAGTTTGGAGGAGAAAACTACAGGCCTGCTTTCACAGGTTGGACATCCTTTGTCACTTGCAACCTTTGTTGTTGGGCACGATTAGTCCCAATAGGACACTATGAAATCAGTGTTATTTGTTCCCAAATTCCAGTTTATTAATTTAAGTAGGCAAAAAGCATGTCTGATTCATTCAAATCATGCAACTTGTTTAGTGTAACAATTTATTACGTTTAACAAATTAAATTTTTGAGGCCCTGTGAAACCAGTTTTATGGTTTTACTTTTATTATTCTGAAAAAACCCCCTCTTGGGTTCCAGTTTAATTACATTTTTAGTAATCAAAAACCATGTCTAAATAACTGAAGCTCTTGCTAAATCTTATACGTTTTATGATTTAAGTAAAAAAATAAAAAATAGGACCCCAAGAAATCGGTTTAGTTTTTTTTTTTTTTCTTTGTGTTTCTAGATTCTGCTTTAACCCTCTACCGCATGGTGTGGCCATATGGCAACATGCTCTGTGTTCATTTCCTTGCCACTGTCTCTTTAAGAGAACATTCTCGTTTTTTTTGTTGGAAAGAGAAGACCTTAGTTTAGCCAATGATGTGCTTTGGTTAAGTCACATGACATGCAGTTTTTTTCTGTGGCGAGATTTCTGACAGACTGCCCTCTCTTGTCGGTAGTTGCTGAAAGCAAACTAAAACGTCAGTAACAAACAAGGACCAGTCCGTGTCACTTCCACAAAAAAATCGGAAACATCACTGTTATGATGTTATGATGACATATTCACCTCTCAAAAAAGTTTTAATAAAATTCGTTTTTGGTAAATCATTCAAATGTATGTGTTGCCAAGTGGCAACACTGTGCAATAGTGGAATGACATTATTACAATAGTTTAGCTAGCTAACAAGGTCAGCTGCAATTTGTTAAGCTGTAACAATAACAACATTAATACTAGTGAAATAATGTTGATTAGTCGTATGTTAATGGCATTTGTATTATGGATATAATCAAATTGAAATGGCAATTTTACTTTTGATTAAATATGAATACAGGTAACATTACATCAGTGAGCACGGCCATATTCTATGGCAAGGTAATTAAGAAAAGGGCAGAACTGGTTCTTCCTGCAGATGAAAAAAACAGCTTTTTAAAGTTTCATTCATAAAAAAGGTGATCTTTCAAGGATTAAGGGGGGATGGAGGGATGGGGGGCTCATGTTCATAGTCTTCCTCTCATAAGATTGCTTGATGCTGAATTTTCATGAACTGCAATGTTTTTGGTTTTATGTCAATGTTTTTTGATACATGATCTACAGTATTATATTTGTTTTAACTGTATAAATTTGCAATTTAAATAATATTCATGAAAAATAATGAAATTAAAAAAATATAAATCATTATTCAGCAAAAAAGAATGTTATAAATAAAAGCACAAGTTGTTGGAAAGTATGTATAAGGTGTCAATTATACTGTAAGTATTGTGTTAAAGCTTATAATAGCACCAATTGAATCAACACAAACAACATTTCTGAGGAAAAATATGAACTATAAGTAAACTTACACTTATTCTAAGTTAGATTCACTATTGTATGCTGTTGCCGTATGGCAACATATCATAAAGTACCTTAAAAAAATATTT